GCCGCGCACGACTGTCCGGGGCGTGGCGCACGACTGCGTTCCTACGGGGCCTCCGGTCTCTTTGCAGCCGCATTCGCTGAAAGGGGAGAGCGCAGCGTGGGTTGATGAGCAGTTAGAGGCTGAGGTCCAGAGGGGGGCAGCTCATTAGAGGCTCGTCTCCGTGGGGCAGTCCTCCTTTCCCCACCAAGGAGGCACCAACGCACAAGCGGCATCGTAAAAGACGGTTGGTGGTCGACTACAGGCGAGTAAACGCCCGGGTGCTGCGGAGCACCTACTACTGCAGGAAAGCTAGCGATGTGCTGGCGCAGTGTGCTGGGTCCATCTGGTTTTCCTTTGTGGACGCAGTGACTGGGTTTAACCAGATCCAGAACACCAGAAGGGCCATGGAAGTGTTGGCCATCGTCGCCAGATCGGGCAAGTTCCTGCCGGTCTGTTTGACCTTCGGACCTGTCAACGGCCCGGATGACTTTTGCTATGTCGTCGATCGCGCTTTCGGGCCGGGCCGCGGCAGTAAAAACCGGTACACTCGTGAATGGGTGGCCTATGTCGATGATCTTACGATCCGGACTGGCCGGGTCGTTGATGGGAGCTTTCGAACCGACGCGGAGCACGAAGAAGAAGTGCGGCGTGCAATGCGAGACGCCCCGGTCACGGTAGGACAGCCGGCTCGGGATGCCTTGGAGGCCTTGGGAGTCCGAGCCGAAGCACTAGGGACGAAAGGGAAGCACGACCCCAAGGTTTCAGACCATAACCATCCCAGTCATCACCAGCGGCCCGAGGGTTGGGTTCGCCCTAGGGTGCGGGACCTTCTTTGGGTTTGGTCTAGGGGGGTCCCCTGGTTTTGGGTCGGTTTTTGGGGTCGCGCGCCGTTCGGTTCGGGGCCCAGCGTGGGGAAGGCCGTTTGTTCGTGCACTGGAGCAAAGATGCTCTGGACAAACCCGGGAAGCACACAGGGGTCCGATCTGGGACCGACGCAGTCGTCATCACGACTGTGGGACGGCTCAAAGAAGGAAAGGTGGACATGCGGACAGGGGTAGACGGAGTCATCCTCACGAGCGAGGTTCCACCGCGGTGTTTTGACCGCATCTCCATGTTTGATGGCGAGACCGGCAAGGAGGGCGATCTTCTTTGGACGCGCCAGGATGGCCTGGTGCCCATCGAGCTGCCTACTGGGGACACCGATGAGTCGTCCTCGGAAGATGAAGCTGAGGGGCGCCAGCGGTCCGGTGCTGCGCCTTCGCAGCCCGGACGCGGCGTCAAGGAAGACCCTGAGGAGCCGGCCGCGCCCGCGGCCGTTGAGTCCAGCCCTCCGGGCCGCGATCCGGCGCCTGCGGTGTCTCCCGTCAAGGATGAGGTCAGCCCGCCAGAGCAAGGTGCGGCGCCAACCGCGTCTCCCGTCAAAAGGAGGCCAGCGGCTAAAATCCCTAAAGGGTATCATGGTGAGCCGCCGAATTTTTGGTGGGCGCACCTCCCAAAGGAGCTACGGCAGAGAGAAGGGTACTGCTTGCTGTGCAAGACGCGGAAGGGTGTCAGGGGTGGATGCCCCGTTGATGAGGATCACCTGCTCAGTGAGCAGCACATCGAGGAAATGTTCAAGATGGAGGCTTACTATGAAGAACAGCAGCGCCAGCAGGCCAAGGCTGCGCCTCCGCAACCTGAGCGCGAGGCACCTACGCAGCCGGCCCTTGCTGCTGCGGCCAACCCAGTCAAGGAGGAGGTGGCAGAGCCTTCAGCAGCTTCCTCTAGCGCAGGGCCTTCGGTGAAGTCGGAGGCAGAAGTGCAGGAAGCCAAGCAGGCCGTAGTAGCCTCTCTGACGCGGACTGGTGGTCTGTCTTCGGACCCCGGTCGCGCAGAACGGCCTGATCGTATGAAGGGCGAAATGTCCAAGGAGGAGCCGCAAGCCATCTGGAGTAAGGAAGGCCGAACTCGGACGGCGCGGCTTGTCGAGTCACTGCTGGGGGGTGCTGCCGCGGATAAGCTTCGGTACCAGGAAGGTGCCGTAGGCGGCCTCAGCCAGCTGATGGCTAAGCAGGAAGAGCGGCCAACGGAAGGAGGAGCCGCCAAGCTTGAAGGCAGTCTTCGGATGATCGCCTCAGCGACGACAACAGCTGCAGTCACCAGGAAGCGTTCAGGACTTCCTGTGGGTGACACAGAGAGTGGGCGCTATGGAGAGGCGGTGACTCGTGCACTGCCCGTAGCAGCAGAGCGCCTGGAGCTCGCTCATGAGACTCCGCGAGCAAGGATCGTCGGCGCCGCAGAGTCGGATACGCGACTCGACGCCGGGCTCCGTGCAGTTGCCCAAGGGTCCACTGACGTGAGCCGGAAGGTCTTGAAAAAACAAGCGCGGAGCAGGATGAGAGCGGAGGAGCACAGGAAGTCGCTGGCCGCAGAGGCCGCTGCAAGCAGACTCGCCAATGAGGAGCCCGATGACTCCAGGGCCAACGCTCCCCCCCGTCCGCCGGACGACGGCCTTGATGATCTTCCCTACGAGGAAGGCAGCTGGGTTTGCGGAGCCTGCAAGACGGTCAACGGACCAAAACTGGTCCGTTGCGAGGGCTGGATCAAAGGAGAGCGTTGCGGCGAGCGCTGGGAGTCTATGGCCAGGTACGCCAAGAGCGGACCTCCTCGGCGCAGAAGCCCGGACTCTAGGAGGGAGGCCAAGCGGCTTCGGACTGAGACAGTCCTCAGTCAGGTCTTGCAACGGCCTGACAGCTGGTGGTGTAGCCGCTGTTGGTCAGGGAACTTATGCTTCCGCAACAGATGCTACAAGTGCTCTGCCATCCGGGAAGAGCCGGATGAGGGGTCGTCCGACGACGGACACCACCCGAAACCGTCACAGCAGCTGACGGAAGAGATCCAGAAGTTCTTGGCCCAATCACAGAGACGGGTCAAGAAGAAGCGTGCTGGCATAAAGCACAAGAAAAGTCACAAGAAGCGGAAGCGAATCCGCTCAGGAGGGTCGGCGGTGAAGCCTGCGGTTCGCAGGCTTCGCGCGACCCGGTCTGCGGTGAAGTCTACGGTTCGTGGACTTCGCGCGACCAGGAAGAAGAGACTGCGGAAGAAGACCAAGCGTCAGGGGTGGGCCTTGTCAAGGAGGGCTCGGAACCGGCGAGCGCACGCCTTGAACGGCAATGGGTTCAGCTTCGTCAGCAAGGCCACTTTGGTCCTTGCCGCGTTCTTAGCGCCGGTGGTCCGCAGGGTCCAGCTCGAGATGGAAGAGATCGTGGAGACCGGGTCGGAAGCCTTCCAGGTAGTGATCGCCGAGGGCGGCGAGGAGTTGGCTTAGCTTCCTTCATCGAGACGGTGTTCTCGACAGCTCGATTTGCAATCGTCGGGCTGGTGTTTTGGTGGGTCTCCAGGAAGGTCGCAAACGTGATGATGCACATGGCTCATGGAAACGCGACCCCACGCTTGGTTCAGTTTGACGGAAACGTCTCCACGTGGGAAGTGAAAGGGACTCGAGGAGTTCATCGAGTCAGGATCGCAGGGAGAGCCCCAGGGTGCGCTTGCAGAGAGTTTCTGCGCACTGGCACCTGCGACCACGTGGAAGTCGCTTTGGCTGCGCACAAAAAGCTGGTTGGGCCGCAAAGTGCGGAGGCTAGCGCGGCGTCAACGGCCCTGGCCAGGGGAAAAGCCGCAACTGAGGGGCGATCAGTAGAATCGCTTGGCCTTTCGGCTTGCTTCCAAGGCCTTGTGGAGAAGGCCAAAGGCCTACGTTCGGAAGCCCAGCCAGGGTCCAGCGAAAATCAGGGCCAACAGCTGCGAGAGCCAGAGGAAGGCCAGACGCCTGAGTTCGCCGTGCGCAAAGAGCGTGAAAATAAGCCAAGGCTGGCTTTGGAGGATGTGTCACCGTGGACCGGCGTTGCGCTTTCGCGCGGCGGTCGCGGCTCTCAAGACCAGGAGCTGAACGCGCAGCTCTTGATCAACAAGGAGTCGCAGGAGGCCATCCTCTCAGCCTTGCAAACGCTAAAGGGCGGAGAAGTCATCGCCACAGCCTATACGCTAGACCAACCAGATTTGGTAGAGGGCCTTCTAGTGTTGGGCGGATCAGCCCGGCTGGTGGTGGACAAGGGCCAGAGTCATGGAACGCGCACCAAGCTGCAATTTCAGAGTTTGCAGCAGCTGGTTCGTGGAGGAGTTCGCGTGCGCGTAGTCTCTGGGTCGCACCTGGCGGCGGTGTACTCCGCCGACAACAGAGACACTTCGAGGATCGGAAAAGGTCAGCGTGGAATTCAGCATTCCAAAACCTTCGCGATCTCGAAGGATGGCCAGTTCCAGTTGATCATTGGATCTTGCAACTGGACTACGGCGTCCCGTTCCAATGCCGAAGCTGGTGTCCTCTTGACAGGAAGTTGTGGGCATGAGGTGTACCAGCAGTACACCGAGAACTTCGAGCGGCTTTGGAAGGAAGCTGTCGTCTTTGACGGGACGCGTGTGGCGGAAGAAGAGCCTCGCAGGAGGGTCTTCGGAAAGCAGAGTGCGCCGACGGAAGGGGACTGAACCCGTCGGAGGAGCGCAAGCCAGAGCTCGAAGGGAGCCAGGGCTTGCCTTGCGGCGGAGGTTTGCGGTTCGCATCCTCTGCGCGGGCAAGGCTTGGGGATGAGATGGATCCCACGGCCGCAGAACCCATCTGAGGGGCGATTGTGAGCCTAAGTAGCCTTGCCCGTAAACGTGTTTATGTGTGTGTTTCACTTGTGCATGAACTGTTTTTGGCTCAAGGGCCAATACTTTTGGCTCAAGTGAGTGGCTAGGAGTAGTGCAAGTAGCTTCTCAGCTTCACTAGGCCGTTTCACCGTCTCACCAGCGTGACTGACCCGCGACCTCGCTCGTGCGAGCAGAAACAGCTGCGCGGCGTTCGTACGCGTGCTCGCAAATTAGAGTAGTAAAGTATGTCAAGGGGATTCCCTTAGTGCCCATCTATTTACTGTAGGCTGTAGGGCATTCCATCACTCTGCAACGGATTGGCTGTCCTCTTCGGATTGGATTGCTGATCTTTTCAGGTTTGCTCACTGGTGTCACCACGGCTCAGAGCCAAGAGCACGAAGACAAGACCCTCCCACTGCCGGAAGTGGATGGCCAGTGCCTCTTTGGTACATAACATAGGGTAAAATCAGTGGATGTAAATCGTCTATATTCTAACTGCATTTCTATACGTAAATACTTATGTTTTAATCGAACTGGTGGTCTCCCATAGTATTTGGATTTGGGAATCATCCAAAGGCCATGGATGGGCCATGGACTTCCGACGTTGGAGGGAGGGTCCCATGGATCCTGCTCTCAGTCACTCAGGTTTCTGGTTTCGACCATGATCCACATGGCCAGTCATAATCCATCTTGGCTCGACAAACTTGATGTATTGACCATTTGGGATCACATATGATATTTTATCAAACATGATTTATGCATAAAGCTTTATTAGAGCAGGTTTCCATTTGGGATCACTTGTGCGTTGATGAAAAATCCATGACCATTCAGCTCATCACATCATGACCACTTATTAATTGACTGGGCTCTCCAGGCACCACGCTGGGCCACTGGGTCTTCAGAGCACCCCCGTGTCCCATAGGTCAAACGGTCTGGGTGGTCTGGAGTATTTCAAGCCTCTCTGAGAGACTTCCGTCTGCTAAATAAATATATATATATATAAATAGATGTATCCAAAGATTTTCATAGTATGCTCTAGTTTTCCAAACTAGTACTGTAACTAGTATGCTACATATACATAGTTTCCAAACAAATGCCTGCATGGAAGGATGACACGGTTTGAAACTGGGTATGTGACGAGAATACGAGATGCGAACCCCAAGGTTCCAAAGAAAGCGAAGAATATCTTCAACATCTTCAACCGCGACCGGTGACATTGGGCATTGCAACAAAAAGAACCAAGAACACACCCGTTGCATCCAGCTAAGACATTCCTTCTTTGCACCGGAGTTTTGGCAATTTCAGGCGGAGCTTTGGCCAGTCTCTGCAGGTTATCTCCCAGTAGTCCGTAATCCTTACCCAGCCTGATAATCCGTAATCCTTAAAGCTTGAGGACGGACAGATTCCAAACTCCCTAGGAGAATTCTGCAGCGAATCGAAGGTCACTAGGTCGTGCGGGGTGTTCACATCAAACTTGGCTTCCGAGGACGGTGTCTTCAATCCGTCAAAGAATATGCCCTAGGGCTCCAAATACCTTCTCAGAAGGTATTTGGACCCTCTAAACCCACCCCAAACACCTTCTTAGAAGGTACTTGGAACCCTAGGGACGTTCTCTTTTGTGCAAGTCAGGTTGTTCACCTGAGCAACAACAAAAACAAAACCCTGCCATGAACGGACGGACCGTTGGTGGCCCAAATACAATATTCTTCTAGTCTGAGAGGTATACAAAAGGCACTTGAAGAAACACCCAACACACATCTGGTGTCTTTTATCCCCATGTCAATTCTCTATAAAATCTCACCCCCCCGGTGATGAAAAAGGCGCCATTGTTCCCCAAGCAGTTTACTGTTGGGGTTCTATCATAGAAAGAAAAGAGCTGGCCACACTCACTGGCCGCGCCCCTGAACTCTGTGGCTGAGCTCTGTGGCTGGGCTCTGTGGCTGGGCCTTGTCCTCCTCTTGTCCTCCTCTTGGCCGCGCCCCTGAACTCTGTCAACTCTGTGGCTGGGCTCTGTGGCTGGGCCTTGTCCTCCTCTTGGCCACGCCCCTGAACTCTGTCAACTCTGTGGCTGGGCTCTGTGGCTGGGCCTTGTCCTCCTCTTGTCCTCCTCTTTACCGCGCCCTGAACTCTGTCAACTCTGTGGCTGGGCTCTGTGGCTGGGCTCTGTGGCCGGGCCTTGTCCTCCTCTTGTCCTCCTCTTGGCCGCGCCCCTGAACTCTGTCAACTCTGTGGCTGGGCTCTGTGGCTGGGCTCTGTGGCCGGGCCTTGTCCTCCTCTTGTCCTCCTCTTGGCGCGGGGCCCCTGAACTCTGTCAACTCTGTGGCTGGGCTCTGTGGCTGGGCCTTGTCCTCTTGTCCTCTGTGGCTGGGCTCTGTGTCCAGGCCTTGTCCTCCTCTTGTCCTCCTCTTGGCCGCGCCCCTGGACTCTGTCAACTCTGTGGCTGGGCTCTGTGGCTGGGCTCTGTGGCTGGGCTTGTGGCTGGGCCTTGTCCTCCTCTTGTCCTCCTCCTCTTGTCCTCCTCTTGTCCTCTTGGCGTGCCGGGCTCTGTGTCCAGGCCTTGCCCTCCTGTTGTCCTTCTCTTGGCCGCGCCCCTGAACTCTGTGGCTGGTCTCTGTGGCCGGGCTTACTGGAGAGGAGTGTGGCCGAACAAATAGCGATGTCAATGCCGACAAAAATTCATTGATGAAGCATTTTGCTCTTGGGGTGAAAGTAGGGCGTACCAAGAAATCGATTCTTGACTGATATTGGTCTAAAGGAATCGTTTTGAAGCTGTTTGGGGTCTATGCTGGTACAATTTTCTTTTGCCAGTCCACATATCCGATGGTCTCTCATGCAATCGCCTCTCATGGATCCTGAGTTTCAACAACTATGGCAGGTCCTTTCCACCTTTTGGCGCATGGTGCATCAGTTTCCCTTGGTTCTGGAGCTTTGGTTGCAGTCCAGCTATAATCCTGGGTTTAGCGGTCAAGGACCGCTGCATGCGGTTGTGCAGTGTCTTGTGGCTACCTGGACTGGCATATCGATGCTCAGCTGCATCTTTGGATTCAGCACCTCCGACTCAATTTTTGGACCCTTTCGCTGGAAAGCTTGCAGCTTCTTATGCAATACTGCTGGCGGCAGATGGTCTGCCGCAAAGTACGACATCGCAAAGATTTTGCTGGATTCAGTTCTATTCATTGGGAGGCTTCTTTTCGATCATTGGTTTTTCCTCAGATGGATGCCGCTGAACTCTGGGCCACCGTCCAAGATGGTACCTTCTTCACGTCGCAGGCCAAGGCGCACTTTGACGGGGAGCATTCGGGGCTATGTCACACTTGCCAAGTGCCTGATACTGTCACGCATGGAGCCCTTCATTGTCCGGACTACCAGCACGTCAGAAAGAGGTATCCTGCAGAGGTTCGTCTTTGGCCACAGAGATCAGTTGCATTCACGCATCATGGACTACATCCTGCTAACCCTCACCAGTGGGCATACTGGCACGCTTTGTTGAGCTTGCCTGACCGTCGGGAAGAGTTCTTGGATTTGAAGGTTTGAGGTGACCACACCTTTATTTTCACGGATGGCAGCTGTTCTTCACCTAGAACGCCAACCAGAGCGCTAGCAGCTTGGGCCGTCACCACGATGGAGCCTAAACGCACCTTGGCACAAGGACCAGTTCCTGGTTTGATTCAATCCATCGACATTGCGGAGGCTATGGCGGTGCACGCGGCCTTCTTGTGGGTCCTTCGCACGGGCGCTTCGGCTACCATTTTTACGGACAGCCAATATGCGTTGGACAACTTGAGGTACCTGCAGAAGCACCATGATGTTCCCTCCAGATGGAAACACCAAGGTCTCTGGCAACAAGTTTGGTCACTGTCAAGCAGATTGATAGTGGCCGCATCACCTTGCAGAAGATTTCCTCGCACCTTAAGGAGGAGGATTGTGTTTCTCCCCGTGAGGACTGGAGCCGACTCGGCAACGACTTCGTGGACATGATAGCCATGGGCCAAGTGGCAGAATCAGCTACGTCCTACGGAGTTCTGCAGATCTACAACACCTTCTGTTCTGCGGAGGAAAGTGCTCGCAATGCCACTCGGTCTCAACTTAGCTTCTTGGTTGAGCTAGCTCAGACAAGCTTGACCTTGACCTCTGAGAGCCATGACCCGGAAGGAGAAACTCTGAATGAGTTGGGAGTCCACTTTCAGGCGACTGATGCCTCGTTGGCTGCCCAGTTTGGCCCTGAAGTCTTGAGCCACTCAATTAGGTTAGGCAAGTTTTCTGCTCGCATGGTCGGTGACTTGGCTTCATGGCTTATTGCGATCGATCTTACTTCCCCTAGTAAGTGTCATGTTTCTCTTCTTGAGTTGGTGATTGGGTTTTCCTTAGATGGCTATCGCATGCCTCTCACCGAACACCAAGCGGGTGATTTATTTTTGGACTCAGCTGAAGTGCCATGTGGCGGTCTTGTTCGACCTACTCTTGCTACTGAGCTTGCTATTTTTTGTGATCTTTTTCGTCTTGTGCAAACGCACTTTCAGCTGAGCTTGGACACTGGCCTGAAGGCACGTCCGCACCTTCGAGTCTTCGGGAGGATGCCCAGTGTTTGTTTGGGTTGGGGTGGTGACTTGGCCACCAGAGTTTCTGACGAGCTCCTTCGGTTTACATCCTCCTGGCCGATTCGATACGCGAGGGATCTTGCGCGACCTCGTTGAGGTTTGGGGTGTCGCTTGTTGACGCATGGCCGCTCGACCTCTGAGCCACCATGTGCCGTTCGACTTCGTCGACCGCGTGTGAATAAATAACATGGAGGGGTTGACCCCTGTGATTTCATAGAGTTTATTGACATGGATGTTCCAAGACGGGGTGGTTTCCTTTGTCCCATCCAGGGGTTTATTGATATGTTCTGGGGACCCCTATCCTTCCTCCGTTCGGAACCAGCACCCCGTCGAATGTGACTCTTGGGAGATGTTCTTTTCAATGTCACTCACCCTCCTCCGCTCGAAGCGGCCATCGTGCCTCGGCTTGCCCTCGGAGACCTACGCGCGCGCGCGCGCGGAAACGCGCGCCCAAACGGGAGGGAGACCGGACACCGGGCAGGTCCCGGGTTCGGGGCGGTTTGGGCTCGTGGGTCTGAAAAACGGAATCAGGGAGTTTAATATGTGTTGTACCAGGACCCGACTCGTTCTGGGTGTCTATTTATAGCCCCAAAGACCCGTGATTTGTCTACCACCCCTTGAAGGCCCTGGGATACCATTCACATAGATGTCACTATTTATACAATACATGCTACCCAGAAAGGTGCAGAAGAGCTGGGTACCTCAAGACATCTCTGTGAATTTGATTCCGCGGAAACTCTAACTGTAGCAATCTGCTGGTCTAGATCCCCTCCAAGGATTTCCTAGTCCACCCTGCACCCCGCAAAACGGCCCCAATCAGCCACCCACTTTTTCACCATCCTCTTGCAAGGTGCCGTGAACTTGTATGATCTTCCTGGCTACGCAGGAAGAAGTACCACAGCATCCAGCATTGAAAGACAAATCCTGCCAATGCACCCGACAACCACAGCGGTGAGACCTCGCTAGCACCCACTAATATCCTTAGGTGCGAAGGGGCATGTATGCGGCATCACGCAGCATGTGACAAAGAGGGAGTTGGAACATTGGAAGTTTAAAGCTGCAGGCCAGTGCAGAACGTTTTTCCGATGGATCTGCCTGCAACACAATCCAATCAACACTTGAGGCATCTTGAGGCATTCAGGACAGCCACCCCAGGGCTCCAAACTCAAGTGTCCACCGCTTTGATGGGGGCTCAAGGCGATGAACAATTCAACCCTACTGCTGAAAATATCTGCACCAAGGGTTGAATATCTAAACAGCAGCAGTTTTGGTCAATATGCCACAGCAGTTTTTAGTTGTTTAGATATAAACAAAGACCTTGATCATGCCACAGCTTGCGGTGTTCAAGGTGGTGCACCATTTCTCCTTCAAGGCTCGACTCACAGGATGCCACTTTTTTGCCACTGGTTTTCCTCCAAGTGACTCACTGTAGAGTTCTATAAAGGATAGCTCTGAGATAATTAAGTTATATACATCCGTTCGGCTGCACATACTGTTACTAAGTAATCCCTTGGGGATGTATTGGTATTCCAGTTTCTTGGAAGAACTATGCTATGTTGGGTAGGAGTGGCCCTAGTCTGAGACAAACCCAACTTCTTGCGGAAGTCCGTTCGTGTGGGTTCATTCAGTTGGGGTCTGGAAGACCATCATGGTCTCCATGGATAGATGAGCCCAGTTCCATCAGTCCAAGCCTGGAAAGCTTGAGACCCAAGAAAACTCCCAGAATCCCAAACAAAGCTTGATCACTGGATGGCACAAGCTTGGAACGAACTACACTCCTTAGGAACTACACTCCTGGGCCAACGTGGATGGCATCCACCGAGCTCGGCCAGAGAAAAATCCTCTACCAACAGGGGGTCCACGTAACCATGTTAGTTCCGGGGAGAGTACACTCGGGAAGATTAACATGGAACCTGAAAACAACTGGGTTGTAGAGGAAAATACTCTTCCAAAGGTCCATGTTCAGGTTCCATGTTAGTTCGGGGAGAGTATCTCTGGTGAGGCCAGCCACGACAGCACGAGCTGCTACAACCAAGGACCTGCCTGAACGGTTGGTTTTTCGGGCCGAACCAAGGAACGTCGCTGAGAGAAAGGAGGCGAACAGATTCCACCAAAGCAGAAGGATCAATGTGGTACAAAAGAGCCCTGCAGCGAACCTTGGTCTTGGAGACCAACCCTCAGGGGAAGTTATTACCACACTTACCCTTTTTACCCTCAGATTTCTGTCAGGACATGCAGGTGTTGTGTGTTTGACACCCTCCGTACTCTGGTACTCCACGGAATTACAGTCTTCTGGACTTGATCAAAAATGACCAAACATGGGGAAGTAACCAGTGGCAAAAGTTGCTTCTTGCCTTTCCAAGACACTGCAACCGCGGGCCAGTGACCATGTTCAAGACCTGGGCTGCGCTGAACGGGCCGATGATTCGGAAGCCACCGGTTACTGATCATGTGGATTCATCTAACGTAGACTCTTGATTGTCAAAGGGTTACTTTCTAAGGTTCTACATTACTGGAAAAGACCGAGACCACGTGGACTCGGCGAGTCTGCTATGTGGTGCGTGGAAATGGACATGTCGCAAAGGGTTTTGTCTGCTGGGATATCCCGAACACACTAAGGAAGCTCCCGAAGGAAAACATACATGCATATAATAGTTGCCACCTGAACTACTGCTCGTGTTCCATGAAAATAAATTATGCACCAGCCCAAAGACGTTCCGACGGCTGTGGCATGTCTAAGTGTCGGGGTCCTGGTTGGCCGAGTTGAGGCTTTAAACATCTATGAGTCCCGAAGACAGCAAGGAAAGTACATCTCATGATACCTGGACCCTATTGAACGTTGCCAAACTATTTGGTCAGGAACAAACACATATGACATGGTTGTGGTTGATGCGTGCCCAGGAACAAGGCGGTTGGCTCGGAGCACCAAGGGCAAGGTGAGGAGAGAGCACAAAGTCCAGATCACGACCGCGATGATCCTCGGAGGGCGCGGGATGTCCGATGTATTCAGATAGTTCCCCATAACAGGAATAAGAGCAAGTGGACCACCTATGAAATGTGGCGGGGGATGAAGCTGTGAAAGAGTGGCTGCAGGAATCAAGGTCCATTTTCCGCGCAAAAGCCACCGAACCTGCATCTGCTTGAGAGATAGAATGATACACAGATTCTACGGATACTTGCAGGTAACACGTTCCCTATTATTTGTTCACTTTGACTTTGAGCTGTTCTATGACTCAAAAAAAGTGTGGTCCAGACTTAGGGCAGGATTTCCCGTTTGAACCACTCAAATGAAGAGACGCTCTCAAAGACCACCTGCTTGCAGCCCTAAATGGTGATCCTGTTCCCCAGAAATGGAAAGTAACAAATGTTTGTTTGCACAAGATAGTAGGGAACCGAATCCTATATAGTGACAATGTCTTGCTGGCAGGCTTGAAATTGGATCGACCCAGTAACTGCATCCAAAGCTCGCTTGTGTGATCAAATACAATGCAACAGAATCGAACTTCAGATTGCTAGCTGCATCCTGACAATTGCTATGGCCTTCGCACCCCAGCGCCCAGGCCAGCCCTCCAGCAGAAGAGGGCCAAAATGCACAAACGCACAGCTTCAAGGGGATCTGGTCTTCCCGCCCCAAAGAGCGCACCACGCTTTCACGCAGGGGCCCTCGGACGTAGGCGTTGAACTCATCGATGATTTGTTCCTCCGTTGGGTAGCTGGTGACATGACGAAAGCTATGAAGATCCTCAGGGGATATCAGGGCTGCCACATCCGAGTTCACCTCTGTGTCTGACACCGATGATTCTTCTGCTTCGAATGAAACGGACAAGGGATACTCTAAAGCCTCGTCGAAGAGTTCAACAACTTGTCGCCTGATCATCAGTCGGTCTGTCTCCAGAGAACAAGTCGCCTTTCTCAAGTCAAACGAAGCCATCTGATCCAACATGGTTTTGTGAGACTCAATCTTCAGCATGCAAAAGTAGGTGATGGGAATGGCAAAGGAGGCGCCATAGAAGTAGGAACGAATATCGAAGCTACCAAGGTATAGAAAAAGTGAGACAAACCGTGTGGCCGGGTCAGTGCTTAGACTGGGATATGCAAAACCCAGACTCAGCCCAAACGCCGGAAACACATTGACTACAATGCTCATCAGCACAAAGATTGGAAGCCATACTGGTACGACATGGATCGAATCAAAGCTGCAGGTCTTGGCCCTCACAGCGATTTCGTATACACACCACAATTTGCTGAATAGACTTTCATGCCAAACAACCAACATATTGGTTGCTTCTGATGCGAAAGCAGGGATCGCCTGCATTGTCTTGGTCATCAGCGGCAGGTTGGATTGGTCCACACAAATGCCATCAAACCACAATGACTTGCTTTGCAACCTTAGACGCTTCGATAGAAATCACAAAAAGCCTGTAACATTGACGTCATTATTATCCCACCACAACGCACCCAATCCATCGGAAGGATACCTTCGGACAACACGTTTCTGTACGCAGTCCGCGACGGCCTGGCGGGGCGGCACCCAAAAACAACTACCTAGCATATACCGTCTTTGCAGAGTTTCATCGCCTGCGCACGCACACACGCGCGCCAAAATCATGTGGAAGGTGTCTTTGTGGCGCGGGCGCATGCACGCCGATGCGCGCAAGGCAGCAAGACCAATGACCAACAACAGCAACAAGAAGAGGGACAGCGAAAACAACCCCTAAGGCATCGCCGGTTTGCGAAGCACAATACAGTGTTGAAACAGGAGCTCTCGATGCGATCGGATTGTAATAATTGATTTATCCCTTCATGTTCTGACTACTTCCGGGGCCTTCCGGGGCTAAGCGACCTGCATAGTAGCTGCGCGCGACTCCTCCACCGACCCGACGGTCGGAGCCGAAGAACCATCACCCGGTCGGGCGGAGTCGGATCTGCTCGGCTGAAGACCCACCCGACCGAGTTCGGAGTCATCGGACCGAACTTGAAGCTATATAGAAACTCCATCGTTCGGGCTGAGGGGCCGTCCCCCGTCCGAACTTTGGTTCGGTGCTTGGGGTGGGTGTGTGCCAGATCAAGTCGAAGCACCTGAGGAGACGCCGACGGAGGGTCTTGGGGAGTCTCACCGGCGAGTCGGCGAGTCCCTGAGAAGCCGACCCAAAACGCCTGGCAAACATGACGACGCCGAGTGACCCAAAGCCACAGAAATAGATCAGCAGCCAAATGAACAAAGGTAAAGTGACCTCATTTGGTCGAACTTTGGCGAGCCACGTGGTTTTCGGCGCCTCCTGAACACGAGTCGCTGTCGTACGGCAGGTCTCACGAAAAAAGCATCCATACCCGATGCCAGGTGTGGGCGAAGGGATGCTGAAGGTTCAATCAAACTGCCATGACCCACCTCTTGCTAATTAAAGCTACAGCTCCAACATGCTCCAACTCCAACTAGCTAAAGCTATAATGACGAAGATTATTGGAATGCGCCGCGCAAATCCCGAATGCCACGCTTTCTGTCCTCTTATTGAGAAGCCGAGAAGCAGGGAAGGGTGGGGTGTCTCAAACACTCCAATGGCTGTTAGTCATGCACTGCCAATGGTAAACTCCTAGCCTAGCGGCTACTAGCGGCCAGTTCTCTCTCTCAAAGAAGGAACAAGGCACGGACTTCAAAAATCAAGTCCCCCTTTGAGAGGGAACTTTAAAGGTTGTGTTTCATGTGTTTCTACTCCAAATTCCAAACATGTGTCCAACAAGTCCATGCAACACAGCCCATGGATCGACTTCAGAGTCTTGGATAGCCTTCCCACTTGAGGGACTTCTAACTAATCAAGCTGTTTTACATCCCCACCAATCTTCATGCGCAGTTAAATTAGCTTTGTGTCATCTACCAGGACCCACAAGGGTAATGGATTCCTCCCCTATCCCTTTTTTACGGGGCTGGTATGGGTCACCCGGAGTGACCGACCCTAGCCGCTAGTGCACGCCACAGCTGCTCCACGCCACAGCAAGGTCTTCAGGCCGTTCTGTGCCACTTCGTTCAAGCTCCGCGCGTGCCAAAAAAGCTGTGACATACCCAGGGAGGCGGTCAGGAGTGCCCAGCGGGTAGCCCAATGGACGTGCCCAGCGGGTAGCCCAATGGACGTGGAAATAGTGGCAAAGGACCTGAGCCGATCTCGATCTCGAGCAAGTGACCTCCGGCCTTAATGTAGAAGAGGATGTCCAATTCAAATTGGGGGGGTTAATCAAGAGTCTACATTAGGTCAAGATATCTGTTCAGGTTGCTCCGCTTCAGACCTGTTTGGAGCTCGGTTCGACCCCGTTGGGTCGTTTCCGCCGTTTCGGCCAGTTTGGGTCAACTCCGGACCCCCCGGGACGACGGGTTTGGGCCCCCAACGGTTTGGGCTCCAGGTCTCTCGACCGACCTGGGAGGTGAGTTTCCATCCACAGACCATCATTGGACCCTCAAAGCCTGCATCAAGAGTCTCGAAGTCTCCAAGGTATGCGGATGACCTTGTTTAGAAACACGACTCCCAGAGTCAGACGACTCTCAGAGTCGCATCCTACGTCACTGCCTATATGTCATGACCCTGAAGTCAACCCCAAACTGATTGGCAAATCTATAATTCCTACGTGTCGCGTCATTGCACATACATATGCCCTGGTAACTGATCCCTGATGTAGGTAACTCTTCCAGTCCCAAGTCTCATGGTCTGGGATTCGTGATAGTTCTGATATGATGATTCAGACTCTCCAACACATCCCTTCGGCCGTCCTGTCGCGCGGGAACCTTGGACGCAAGGGGCCAACATCTTCCTCCATGCAGGGCAGGACCACGAGTGGCAAATAAACCTCAAAAACTCCAAGCTGAACTGCCAAGAAAGTGGAGGTTCTCCTGAAAAAAACCTCTTGAATCTACCAAATCCTGCAGCATCCAAACAGGACTGGACCCCGACCCAAGGAACACATCCACCTTCCGCACGATCCGCAGTGCTGCACCATCTCCACTGCCCTCGAAACATGTGGCTTGCAATTGTTCATCCAGTGGCAGGTGAACTCTGCAGCAGTTCATCTTTTAGATTTGCCATAGTCATCACTGTCAGTACTTGCATCAAAACTCCAAAGCGATAGAGCCACTAGAGCATGTACTTGAAGATCCGCATCTAGGGATGCCCTAATCAAAGCAAACAACTATTTGTTCAACAGGAACATTCACAGAAAAACTGTGGGTTTTAAGGCTAATTGGAGAGAGTCTTACCAGGCTCTATGCAAGCTTTGAGTTTTGGGCACTGTTTCGCGCAGGCAGGCACATCCGAAGAAGACACGTCCGAGCTTCGAACCCCAAAAACCAATCCCCGACTCTGCAAATGGCTTCCAAATCTTTTGGCTCAAATACAAGTCCGTACAAGTCCTGCATTTGCCACCAGGAGGTACAAACCCGAAATCCAAGCCCCAAATGCTGCTGATCAACTGCTTCCATATTCTTTTATAAGCAGCCTAAGGCACCTGAAGAAGATTCCAAATCACCTGCCAACTGGTCGCCGCTCGACAAAGGCCATGCCGCTGCACGAGCTCAGCTTGTGTGTCAAGAGTCTCCATCGGCTTCGCGGTGAGACTCGGCGGACTTGACATGTTTGAATGCGCACAAAGGAACTCAATAAAGAAGCTATATTAGGATGCTTGTGTATAGGGTCTCCTAAAACACCTTCAATCGTTTGTTGTCCTTCTTGATGCACACCAAGAGCTTCTAATGCTTAGATCCACAATGGCTGAGAGGGTTTTCCTTGGCCAAAAAGCCGTCAGTCTGCCTCTAGTGAGTCTAGTGTACTGCGTTTCCCTGTGTTTCTCGGTCTTCCAGTTCGTCCCCATTCGTGTCATGTCAAGTGTTCTCACGTGAGAGCATCGCCGTTTTGAAATGTTTTGAATATCGGCCAGTCGCGCAGAGTTCCACCGAGGTCTCTTTTAGACTTGCCATGCAGCTGCTGTTTTTGCCAAATACAAGATGTTGCCGTTGCTTCATCAGAAAATGCATGCCCAGCTGTTGGAGATGTTTCTTCTTCTTTCCTTTGGGGATCGATCTTCGGAGCTCGGACTGTCGCTGCCGTTGACTCGCCATGGGAGTGAACTGCCTACTGGGCGCTCCTGACGATCTCGACTCCACCGTGGATGAGACGGTGTGACGGCTCATACCCGAAAGCATGGTACCCACATACCCTGCTTAGCAGAAAAAAAAAACATGAGGATGTTTTCCAGCATTCCATCGCCTGTACCAGGCATGGCTCATATCATCATCCCTATAGGGATCCAGTACCGAAGCTCAGAAGGTACTTGGACCCTCCGAACCTACATAACAGCGTCGAACACAGAACCAAACCTGAGAAGGTACGACTGGATCCCTACAAATCAGCATTCTCATTGAAGTTGGTTCGAAGGGTCACACAGCGATTGGAGCACCCCGCAGCTGATCCTCCTTGAAAGTGGAACAGGCACAAACCCCAACAAGTCGTTGAAACACCTCCAGCTTCATCGAAAAGGGAGTGACTCCCAACAACCGGTCTCGCTTGGAGTGTCGAGGTAGGACGGACTCCATACTATAGAGACCTCGCGCGGACCGTCTGAAACACAGAAGCACCTCCGGGCACCTCCTGACACCCAGTTCCAGGTCCTTTTCTTCGGATTATTTTTCCCAAACAAGAGGCTCCTGTTTGGAAGGCAAAGATTTTTTCGGCATTTCAAAGCAAAACAAAAGGCTGGTATAGGTCCAAGAATTGTCTACTTAACACCCTGCAAGCCCCCGAAAACAGCTCACTTTTTCACCATCCTCTTGCAAGGTGCCGTGAACTTGTATGATCTTCCTGGTTTCGCAGGAAGAAATACCACAGCATCCAGCATTGAAAGGCAAATTCTGCGAACACACCCGACAACCAAAGCGGTGAGACCTCGCTTGCACCCACCAAAGTCCTTGGTGCATATGGCGGCCTCCAACCACACATGTGCGGTTCGAGGTTTACTCCAACCCATGTTTCGAAAAAGTTCTTGGACTATTACAGAGACAAGTACAGATTCATGCGATCTCAGCACTCCCATGGCTTCGACATCAACTAGGAGAGTTTCACCTTTGGTTTGGGTCTTCCAGCGTAGAAAACATGATCTGCACCCCTCCAAAATCAGGTCAACCTGTTGTCTTGCTTCATCTTGCTTAGCGGCTTAGCCTGCAGCAGGCCCGGTGCCATCCGACGAACGCTTACCCTTGAACCCGAGGAACGTCGCAGTCTGAGAGGCTGAGAAAAGGCCCCACCAAAGGAAAAGGACCAGTGAGGTGGAAGCAAGGCAGACAGTGAACCTTTGCGAAGCATGGACGTCTAACTGGGATAAAGAACCACTGAACACCAAGGAGTCTCCCAAATAGTCCTCAAATACCGGACTGAACAATGGACTTTTCACGATCTGATCGGAGTTGAACACGAAAATGGAACGGAACGTTCTTGAAACTGCAAGGGGTGGGAATAGTTTTCTGGAACCTGGACTTAAAGACTTGATTTATCAATTATACTATTATATAACAACTTAATTCTAATAATTAAAACATTATATGCATGGGCAAGTATACAGTGCAAAAGGTTGTTTCTTAGCTGTCCCAGAAACTGCAAGCGTGGGCTGGTGACCATGTCCATGACCTTGGCTGGAGCAGCAGATTCTTCAGTTGTCCTCTTCTGATTCTTCAGTTGAGAGGCCCAAACCACATGGACGACCTTGCTTTCTAGATGATCCCGAGTGCAATTTTCTTAACAGGCAAAGCCAAGCAAGGTTCTATACACACACAACATGGATATCTGTCTTGTTCGCTTCGACTTGCTCACCTTCCCAGCCAGCTATGATCAGGTTTTTGACCTTCCTGGATTGACGGTTCCGACGCAAACAGGGCTTAATATCCTGTTCTGAGGGCATGAAAACACATCCGGGAATCGTTCTCGGAACCTGACATGTCCCGGAACTTCACCTCGTAACTTCAGGGATGTCCTTGGATCAAAAAACCTGAACACATCCTTGGAAGAGACCAACCTGAAAACCAACCTGGACCAGCAGCGCCTCTTGAATGGACGCCGAACACGGGAAATCACGGAAAGAACGGAGAGTCTTCCATGGCATCTGACCGGGACGAAGCGATGCTGCGTGAAGGCCGGATGTTCGAAGGCCGGCGGAGATTTTCGTGTACCATCTGTGCCGATCTTTCTTCCATGAAGCGACCACGGACTATCAGACTCTGTTTCGTGGAGAAATCACGAAGCAGAGTTTAACGGTCCGTTTGAGCGGTGCAATCATCACACAACTTCAACTTACAGCAATCTGTTCATGGAGAGGACTGGTTGGGGTGACCAACCCAGTGAGATGAAACTCGATCCCAGGTGCTGAAAAAGTGGCAAACCCAATCAAGTTGAGGTGCTGAAATGTGCTGAAGACATCAATCCCCACGACAGAACAGGATAGAACATCCTCTTTGCGCAATCATCAATCACTTGGGTCCAAAATGGCCCACTTCCCCCAAGGACCCCCGCAAAAGCTGACCATAGATTTAGCCAGGAGAGCAAACAACATTAGTTTCAGGAATTGATTCACGTTTCAAACACCAGCACCACGGAATTCGGGTGGTTCTTGGAGGGAAAATAACCTTTGGTCAAGAGCCAGGGGTGTCTATAAACCATCCAAGACTTGCTTCGTTTTTTGTCCGACCTACATTACATGTGCGACGGTGTTTTTTTTTTGCAGAATTGAAATGTTTTCATGCAACTGGCTAGTGTTTGGCTTGGGATCACCATATCTGCTGATGAGTGGCGAACAAGCATCTCAACATATCACCTCATGTATTGGCTGGCTGGAATGGAGATGACACACGTTTCGCCCTCCAAACGCTGTACGTTTCGAAGACCTCACGACCGAGAGACCAGGCGGTTCGTCCGCAAAACCAAGGGCAAGGTGAGGAGAGAGAGCAACGGCCAAAATACGACCGAGTTGATCCTCAGATCGCCCATGTCCATGCATGGACAAGGAATTTCTTTGGGATGGAAAACTGCAAATCCAGCCAGCGAGGTGGTCGAAGCTTTGTGTCGAGGAGGGGTACATCTAGTACTATTTAAAATCTTTATTGTATAGTGTATGCCTGGGTTGCTTTTATAGAAGTTGATAGGTTGATAGCTGACAAATTTTGCTCATGTTAGTTGGAACCTCAAACACTGAGTCGGATGCAATATGGTTTCCAATTGCTACAATAGTAATCAGGGTATACCCATGTGTTTAACGGGGACTTCCTTCAGATTCAGGTTCTATGCCCAGAGAAAAATGTTAGGCTCAAGCCACTGATTATCTAAAGGATTCCAAAGGTCTACCAAGTTTAGTAGTGGTGCACAACCCCTTATTTTACTACAAATGAGTTTTGTGGGAGGGTTGATGGCAGGTTTGCATCATGGTCTCAAGGGGATCTCCACTTGTCAAAGGTTCAAGAAAATCATCCCGGCAAAAGGCCCCAAACAGTGTGTGTGTGTGAGGTCTATAAGCAGAAAGTCTAAAGATCTAGACGGATTGGGGTCCAGAGAGGTGATGGTGGTGATGAAGGTGGAGATCGTGCATGGTGATGGTGGCGGCGGTGGTGAGTGCGACTGTGAGTGTGAGTGTCAGTGTGTGTGTGAGTGCGACTGAGTGTGAGTGTGACTGAGAGTGAGAGTGCGAGTGAGTGGGTGATTGGTTGATTGATTGATTCAGTGAGTGAGTGAGTGAGTGAATGAGTGAGTGAGTGACTGAGTGACTGAGTGAGTGAGCGAGTGAGTGAGTGAGTGAGTGAGTCATGAGTGAGTGAGTGTGTGAGTGAGGGTGAGTGTGAGCGTGAGTGTGAGTGAGAGTGATCGTGAGTGAGAGTGAGTGTGTGTGAGTGAGAGTGAGAGTGTGAGTGAGAGTGAGAGTGAGTGAGAGTGAGAGTGAGAGTGAGAGTGAGAGTGAGAGTGAGAGTGAGTGCGACTGTGAGTGAGTGTGAGAGAGTGAGAGGGTGAGAGTGAAAGTGAGTGCGAGTGTGAGAGTGAGAGGGTGAGAGTGAGAGTGAAAGTGTGTGAGAGTGAGTGGGTGCGTGTGAGTGTGAGTGAGAGATCGTGAGTGAGTGCGAGTGAGAATGAATGAGAGTGAGAGTGAGCGTGAGACAGTGAGTGTGTGAGTGTGAGTGCGCATGTGAGTGTGAGTGTGAGAGATAGTGAGAGTGAGTGCGGGTGAGAATGAGTAGGAGTGAGTGTCAGTGAGAGTGAGAGAGTGAGAGAGTGGGTGTGAGTGAGAGTGAGAGTGTGAATGTCAGTGTGAGTGAAAGACTGAGAGTGGGTGTGAGTGTGAGAGTGAGAGCGAGAGCGAGAGCGAGTGAGTGTGAGTCTGAGTGTGAGCGTGTGTGAGTGTGAGTGTGAGTGTGAGTGAGAGTGAGAGGTGAGCATCTGAGAGCACAAAGTGCTGCGCCTGCCACGAAATCTGCACATCGAGGTTCACAAAGTGGCACGCCTGCCACAAAATCTGCAGTTCGAGGTCCACAAAGCGCTGTACCTGCCACGAAATCTGCACTTCGAGGCTCCCAAAATGCTGTGACTGCCACAAAATCTTCGCTTCGAGGTTCCCAA